TCAGTTCAGAAAACTGAAAGGAATGGTCACTTCTTCATGTAGAAGACGTAAGACCTTTTACTTGCAGGATCTGCTCCGGTTCCTAGTCAGCATCATTTCTGAAGGCCAGATCTTTTGAAGTGTTGTGCTGCTTTGTTTTTAAGAGAAACCTTAGTTCTATATCACTAAGGATTTCTTGGTATGTTTTCAAATCTTACAGTGGAACTGTTAAATAGACATCAAGACCTGTGGTTCCTGCAGCCCTTTAGCAATAAACTCATGCAAAAAGCAAATGCTAGGACTCTGAAATGTATCATGTGAACTCAGAATTCCTTCGCTACTATTTTGTGAAAACTGTATGAGAAAAATAGATGTACTCAGACAATTATTTATTTTGTCCCAAACAGGTTAGGTGGTGGTCCTGACGATGCGAAGGAGATCATGCAACACAAGTTCTTTGCTGGCATTGTTTGGCAAGACGTATACGAGAAAAAGGTACTCGTAGAACTGTTCTCCTCCAGTAAATTGTTTGTAGCTATACTGAATATTTCAACTTTGCTGCCCTTGTAAGGTACTCGGAAGGCCTCCATGAAAGAGGCTTGCAATTGTTTCTTTAACAGAGCTAAATTGCTTCGTTTCTTAAGCGTCATAGCTAGATTACTTCTGAACCAAAGCTTTTTATTTCATCAATGGGAAAAGTATCTCTCAATGAAATACTTGTTTCTGTGACTGAGCAAATAGGATGTGACCTAAATTGCTTCCAAATTTAGACAGTATATAAGCATATAAAATGGCTTTTCCTGCGATTTCTTGTTTCCATTTCTCACTGTCAGTTGAATTATCCCCTGCAATTTATGGAGTCCAGAAGTGAGTTATCACTAGTTCCTGAGTATGTGAAAGTGCCTGAAAGCAGTCATGGAAAAGTAGTTGTTTCCCTTCTATAGTCTTGGTTTGAATAATAAAATTAGATTGAATTAGGCAAGCACAGAGAATGTAGGCTGTTAAATCAAGTCTGATTTTTTTGTGGCAGAGGAAGGATGTGAAGTATTTGGGTTTTTTTTCAGCAGTTTTCTTTAAGACTTATTGAGTTTATAGGCTTTCCAACATGAGCCACTGAAATCAAAGTGACTGACCCATTCAGTTTGAATGTGTCATCAGTCCTTGTTGTCTTGCTATTCTGTTCGTCACAAAACAACTTACTCATCCAAGACCTTCTGCTCACCCCTTTGAGGGTGACCTGCTGTTTTTTGTCCTTTTTGCTTCTCGCCAGCCACGTTCTCTGTAACACCCGTGTGAAATGCAGCTGCCCAGAGCTTGGCTCTGGGGGTTCAAGGCTTCCATCTCCTGAAGCCCCGTGGTCTTGTGCTGCCTCAGCCTTCCCTCTGCAGCTTCCTATCGCATCAGATAGAGCTTAATTTCTAAATGAGGTTTAGTGCTCCCTCAGTTGGTAGGAACAGCTAAGAAACTCCTGTGTCCCAATAGCGTGCTGCTTTTGAAATAAAAAAGGCTTTTCAAAATAAATACAGCCTTTGATTTATTCAGAGCTTAATTATTTGGATTATTCTGATAAAATATCAAATTCAGGTGAAACTTCTGATAAAGCTGTGGTCTATTAGCGATTCTCACATTCTAAAATATAGAGGATAATACCGCTGGTTTCGATAGCATATTGGGAGAATTGTCCAGTGCTTGCTTATAGTTACAGAAAGTGCTCTATTTCCATCTTCTCTTTCTTCTTTACAGTTCTGTGTGGCTAAAGGGAACCTAAAAATAAAAATAAATTGTGTTTTGTGACTTTGAACAGTACTTGGAGCTTAGACCCCCTCCGGCCTTTCAGAGTATTCCTTGAAAGCTGGATGCAGCCATGGAGGGCAGGAGGGAACTGCATAATGTGAAGAGTATGTCTGGGTTGTTGTTCTAAACTTGAGTCTTTTGACTGATTTGATAAACTAAATACATGAAATTTTGCTATTTTTCTGAAATTTTAGGTTAAAAGTTGATAATGGAGCTTAGATATCCTCAGTGCAATCATTTTTTAACAAGTAGGATGGTAGTTCTCGTTCGCTGGATGGAGAAGAAATCAAACAAGCTGGGGCAGCTGATTTATCCATAGGATCAAAAAAAGCCTTCATAAAATGTTCTTTAGGAGCACTGTGAGATTCTTCCTCAAGGCTATGTGCTGTGCTGACTCAGATCGTGGAAACTACCAGAAAACTCCCGATGAGAAGTATCTGGAAGAAAACTGTGTGCCGGTTGGGAAAACTTCTGTCTTTAGTGTATCCAAGTGGGCTGGGTGCTGGTTTTACCCTGTCCAGTTAGAGGTGCATGTGGAATGGGATCTAAACCATGAGCCATTTCGGGAATAAGCTGTGCAAATGAAGAGACTTGCAAAGCCTGGGAGCGAGCGATGCCGTTGCACGTTGGGGGTGGCGCAGGGAGGATCCCGCGGCGTTTACCCGGGATCACGTGCGGGAGCTCAGCGGAAGGCCGGGCCGTGTCCGTGCGGGGTGGAGGTGCTGAGCTCCGGTACCCGCTGTCCGCAGGCGGATCCGCCTGTGCGTACAGGCGGAGGGTAGGCGAGACCATGGCAGCGCAGCTCAGCTTTTGGGAAACAGCTTTGCTTTGAGCTGTAGGAAGTTTGGAATAACTGGGGTTGACCCAAGAATTTAAAATCCTGATTAGAAAATTGTGGAAAGTTGGTGCTGTGTGTCTCCGGATACGTTTAATTTGCACTGTTTTGCTCACCCAGAAGCAAAATGTGCTCAGTGAGATTTTTAATCTCTTTTTCCTCCCTCCCCTGTTAAATGAACATACAGGTGGCACCTCTCCCTGCAGCTGAGCTGCAGGGCTGTTGCAGTGAGTTTCCCACTGAAGGAACATATTTGCTGGGCAGGGCTGGTGTTACAGCTTTCTGCCGCTTCCCTTCAGTTCCCCAGTTTAACGTGCTGAATTCGACAGCTAGGAAAAAAACTTTGTCTGGGGCATGAGCCTCACTATCTCAAACTGCTCTTAAGAGGTATGAGAGAAGATGGCAGCGGCGGCGGCGCTCGGGCTTGCGCTGCTGTGCCCGGATCCGTCACCCGCTGCGGCACCCGAGCCGGAGGAGCAGGCGGGAGCCGCGCGAGCGCCGAAAGCACCGTGGGCAGGGCGGGATGGCGTGGGCTCGTCCGCGTGCAGGTTGTCAAAAACCACGGCAGGGCACGTCCAAGGAACAGCAGAAAACTGCTGCAAGGAGAGTGAGAGCAGAGTTCTGAAAAACAGGGAGCAGTGAGCACGCATCCTCAACAAGGATTTATGCACCGTGCTCTGGAATGGCTCGATTGAGAGTGAGGTAACATCATGGGAAACGGGTCCTCTGTGACAGCTTTAGCGAGAGTGCAAGGCCAGGCGGCTTATGGCTTTGGGATAAGCTTTTAATTTTTATGTTACAGAGTTTTTATTACAAAAAGCTTATTTCTTAGCGTTTTATTACAAAAAGTTTTATTATGAATTTTTATATTACAAAAATTTTATTTATAGTAAGTTAAATTTTATATTACAATGATCCGTTATTTTTTTTTTGCTAGGAACATTTGTCAGGCTCCTTTAAGACATCCCTGAGCACATAAAATCATTGGTAATCGAAAAAAAATGATAATGAACATATAAGACAGCATAGTAGTATAACAAGTGCTTAAAATTTGTATATCCTTAGTGTTCAAGCATTTGTTTTTTAAATCATAGATTGTTTCTTTCTATTTGCAAATGCCACCATATGTGTGAATTACTCTTCTGAAAACAAAGGAGCTTTATAGTTTCCCTGCCTGTTTGTAGGGCAGGGTGACATTCTTACGTGTTCTCAAAACAGATCAGAAAGAAGACCCTGCAGACAGGGCACTTGAATGAAGCTCCTGCTTTTCTTGTTAACTGATTGACTTGTCAAGCAAATGATTCCGTAAATCTACTCGGAGAGGGGAAGAAGGACGGTAGGAGAAGGATGTTTGGCACCTTCGAGGCTCGCTGCTGTTTGCCAGGCAGCAGCTTCCCTCGGCGTGGTGGTGGGCTCAGTGCGAGCAGGGAGCACGAGGCTCCGTGCTGCTGCTGGATTCCCCTTGGAGCTGTTTGCCGCCGGCCTGGACTGAGGTTTCCCGCTGTTTCGGGTTGGAAGCCGCGCGCTTCCTCCGTCACGCCCCGGAGTCGTTGCCTAGTGCGGCCTGTGCTGTTGAGACGGCCACACTTGACCCCCGTGGGGGTGAACCGAGGCCGGCCTGGAGAGCTGCTCCGTGTCCCCCGGGAGGGCCTCATCCCGGCCTCGCTGCGCTCCGGAACCTCCCGTGCATCCGCGGGCGGCCGCTCCGCTTCCCCGCGGCTCCGGGGCGGGGCAGGGCTCCCCCCCCTGCGCTGCGGC